AGAGGGCTCGGTATTGAATTCCGACACAGGTTGATCGCCTGAAAGCAAAACGAAAACCTTATCCCAGGTCGCCCCTCCTAAAGGTCCACAAAGGAGATAGAACCAGAGCCCAGCGTTCTTTAACCAGATGCATGCAGAGAATCAAAGCTCCCCCACCTCCTGTTTACATCTCCTGCGACAATCAATAACCCTACATCTGCCACTCTAAATAACTACATATCACATGCAAACCTAGCAAAAATTAAATTGTTTTTCATTTTAACTCTTTAGACTCGTGTGGTAATTTAGCCTCTCTAAACAAAAGAATTGTAATTCCATTTTGAATGCACTCATTGTAAAAAAGCTGAGCACTTTAAGGGTTAACAAACTTTGATCACGATTAGTAATAATCGTAATAATGCAATAAAAACAAAGAACTGTTAAAGGAATTTTAAAATTAAATTCAACCAAATTAAATTCTGATGCTACAAACTGCCAAGATATTGTTTTGATTTATACTTTTCATTTCCATGTATTTCAGAGGCAAATCCAAAGTGCTTTCTGCCTCGCTGAAAATGTTTACACGCTCTACGCTTCAACAGAGGCGTATCCTATATCAAGCATTATACTCAAAGGTAGGCGAATACATTTTGAACATCGCTAGTAGATTTGATTTCTATCCTCTAAATCACAGACTTCCATATGCTTGTAATAAATATAAATGTATTAGGGTGTATTCAATGCCTGGTTCTGTATTATTCTTTTTACTAAAATATACGCTTGAAACCCACTTAGTATATGCACAAACAGTTCTTAGGCCCATCAGTTGTAGTATTCTCGTCTTTCTGTATTATAACGTCACCCCTCTACACACAATACACACACACTATTTTTTTAATAAATTAATCCCCCCCCCCCAATTCAAATTACTTTTTATTTCTTCTAATGGAACGGCTGATCAAACTCAGACACAAACAAACAAACCACACAATTAAGCCGTTGAATTCCAAAAGCGTAAGACTTTGATGCAATTTTGGTTAGTTCAACTTCAATCTTTTTTTATTATTATTCATTTAAACAGTCAGTATTTCAATGGCATCGCATAATTTTTGGCATCATCCAATGGAAAGCCTGATCCCCAACCACGAACTTTTAGGCCGCCCCACTTTTTTTTCCTTCTTCAATTTGAAAGATAAAAAATAATAGTTTTAAACAAAGCAAACCTTTCTTTGAATTAACCCCTTTGTTATTATTGACATTTGTTTCTGTAGAAAATCGCTTTGTTTTTGTACAACAGATGCCAACTATGAATCCAATAACTGTGGTCGCGTTGTGAAAGGAATGTTTGTTAAAGTCTGTCGTGACAATGGAGAACTTTGTGAAACAAATGAAACCGGCACAATTTATATCAAAGGTAAACGGGGACAACTTATATTTAATTTTAAAAAGTAAACTGAATGGTGACTGAATGGCAAAGCGCTTGGCTTCCGAACCGGGGATCCAAGATTAGAATCCCGGTGAAGACTTGGATTATTAATTTCGGTACCCCTATAAGACCATTTAGTTTTGATGGGTAACTGACATTAGTTGGGGAAAAGTAAATGCGGTTGGTCGTTGTGCTAGCCACATGACACCCTCGTTAACTGTGGGCCACATAAACTGATGACCTTTTCTTCATCCGCCCCCTATAGATCGCAAGGTTTAAAAATGGGTCCTTTACTTACGTTACACAACATTTTTTTTATTTAAGTACAATAAATTAATAATTTAATAACAACTGACGCCATTTTTTTGCCTTTCATTCAGGACAATACTTATTCCCAGGATACTTCAATCGATTAGAAAACCCCAATCCACAGAATCTGAATGTCTTCACAGCAGACGGCTGGTTCAACACTGAGGACTACGGTCACTTTAACGAACATGGCGAGCTCTTCGTGTTTGGTAGAATCAAGGACATCATCACCTATGGGTCGTCCGTCTTCTACCCAGGATGGCTGGAGAAAAAACTGGTCGAACACTCGGACATACAGGAAACCGTCATCGTCCCAGTAAGTTTAGGCATTCTGGGTGGTGATGTACGGTCCTAGGATTCAAGGGTGGAATGGGTGTCAAAATCAGCCCTGCATTACCTACACCGGCCTATATCTTGCGTACCAGTCATCATAATAATAATGTTACTATGTCTGGAACTGTAGCAATAATCTACAATTTTATATACTCTGAGTCAGCGATGGCTTTACGAATAGCGGGGCCCAATTTAATGGATTTTATTTTTTTTTTTTTTTATCTTCTTATATAATACAGACGTTACTTCAAAAAAGAAGATGATTACGTCCTACGCGTCATGCATTCAGTCATGCATATTAACCAATGACTTAAATTCTGCCAACACTAACAACTATTAGTATTGATAAGATCATTATACAAATATTTATTATACAATATGCATTGGAAGCAACTCTAACTTAATAGTGGGTTACTTCAAGCTAGGTAAGTTCTTCGTACGATACACTAAATATGTTAACCCTTAAAGTCCTTTTACCTTTACCTATCCCTTAGTCTGTTGGAGCACCATGCAAGATTTGTCGACCGTCTTTCTCCATTCCTCTCTGTCTTTTGCCTTAATTAGAAACTCTTTCAATGGCAGGCCCGTCCATTCTTTTATGTAAGGTTCTACATCTTGTTTTATCTACAGGTTACGGATCCTGTTCTCTATCAGAACGTGTGTGCTTGCATCAGACTTAGACAAAGCAGTGACCTTGACCTAGATAAACTCAAGGAGTACTGTGATGCCATATTTTTAGCAGACGTGTCCGTCTACTTGACACCTAAACCGAAATACTTTATCGTAAGTTGAATTCTGACAATAGATCTGAACCCAAGATGATCTAGGCGTTGTTTACAATAGTATAAAATTAGGAGGTACAGTGGATGGGAGGTAAAGAACGTGTAACTTCCAAACCTAAGGGTCCAGGGTTCGAATCCTGTTGAAGACTGGTATTTTTAATTTCGGGATCTTTAGGGCACCCCTAAGTCCACCCAGCTCTAATGGGTACCTGACATTAGCTGGTAAAAAGTAAAGGCGGTTGATAGTTGTACTGGCCACATGACACCTTCGTTAACCATAGGCCACAGAAAGCAGATGACGTTCACATCATCTGCTCTTTAGTTTGAAAGGTCTGAGAAGGGAACTTCACTTTTTTTTTAGTTTAAAATTTCGAATACCATTTAGCGAGGCAGATAGTAAGCATCACACACGAACACAAATATACGTTTTAGACAGTGGCAAAGCAACCATGGCGCGATAGGGCGCTGATTGCTCCCGATGTAAGCAAATAGAAAAATTGACTAGTAATTTTATGTATCAAATTTATTATTATTATATTTATTTATTACTTACTACAGTACGCTTCAGATTTGAGTGAAATGAGACTTAACGCTTATCTTATTCTGCTTATCTTATTCTCATCTTATTTAACCTTATTGTTTACAGATCATGAAGGAAGAGTTCCCATACACCAGCACAGGTAAGCCAGATAAGCAGCTGCTGAAACGGAGGGCCGAGGAGCTGTTTGGTTATTCTGGGAAATCTACAAACATAAAACAATAAACTCGTTGACCTTTGAGCAATGTCAAACTCAATCTCAACCAAAATTCTGTACATTTCTGAACTACCAGATGTCAATGAGCACAGAGAACCTGTCATTTTAAAGCATGGCCTTTCTAAGAAGTTTTTTTTTTTTTGGAAATTGAAAATTAGTTATAAAATTAAGAATACTCATACATTCATTACAAGAAAAGGCGAAAGCTGTCGATGATCATAAGTAGCTTTTGTAATTTGTTCACCTCGACGAAAACGTCAATCAAATAAGATTTTAAATTATACTTTTTTAAAAATCAAAGATACTAACATGAAAGACAAATATCAGCATCACAATAGCAGCACTCTTTGCAAGACGAAGATAAATATGTTGCATTTGGCCAAGTTAGTTCTCTTCCTCTTGAAAGGAGAGCGTGAATCTTGAGACCTGCTTGTTGAGCTACCTGCATTTTGGGATTTTGTAACCTGCCTATCGAACTTGCAAATTGAGGTCAGCGTGTTTAACTTACATCTTGAAATCTGCGTATTGAACTACTTGCTTCTTGGAACCTGCGTGTTGAGCTGAGAAATATCAACATTTCACAAAGTCATTATCAAGAATCAAGACGAGAACCTGATTGTAAATACATTGTCACGTATTACGAATTGAATTCTAATTTTTAAATGGCTTGCCTAGGGGAACGTGACAATAGAAAAAGCAGTTGTGTCACTTATCTAAAGTCTGAATTTAATCAAAGACTTACAATGAATAACAAAAAAAAATGACACAAGAAATCGGAAGGTAAAATATCAACTTAATGTTTAATATAATATAACTCAAATAGTACTTTTAACTGAATCACATAAAGCAAGAAAAAAAAAAACAAACATTTACTCAATACAAAATGGAAGGGTTGACCAAAACCCTTTTACAAAAATGGCATGTAAAAATATTACAATACCAGAGTTTGAAAATATAATTACAAATACAAGCAAGGCCTTGAAAAAAAGAAAAATCTTAACTTACACGATCAATTGGTATACCACGCACGGGTCACGCAATGTCTCCGCTATTCTGTCTCACGGCTGTCTCCGTATGTCTGTCCGTCAACGTTACACGGGCGGTCTTTATATAATATACCGCGCGTCGATATCAAGACAAATCTAGTAATTTCTAGAACAGAATAAGTCATCAACACCCAGATCTAGAACGCTCTTCAAAGAGACAGAAGAAAAAAAAAACCACCCTCCTTTCAACCAGAGGTACACACATAGGTCAAGGACCGGTCACTGTCTGTGTGGCTTGACTCACCGTCAAAAATAAAATAAAAAAAAACTTATTACACAAGGGGCAGACAACCTACAGGTCAAGAAAAAAAAATAGTATCTAGGTAACAATGCCTAGATACGTAACAACATTCATGAAACAAAAACATGATTGACAATAGATTCATACAATTTTTAATTAGGTCATAATGTTATATCACACCATATTATGTATACCTCTAAGTCTGTGGCATTTTACGTCTCGAGAGACGATCTTTTCCCTTTGCAACTTCTATTCTAAGACACCATCATTTATACTGTGAATTTTTTGTTTTAATTTAGTCAATCATAAATAGCTAATTATCAGAAGGCGATTGAGTCTATAGACTTAATCAAAGCTAATAAACTTGAAAAACGACAAATGATGACTGCGACTCAATTAAAAGAATTAGAAAAAAGTAAAATGTATGATTATTACATAACTGATAAGCATGTGAATATACAAGGGATGCTCGGTGTATTTGTTTCAACTGCACATCAAATATTAATTTTTTTTATGGACATGATCTTTGAATATCTCACTACTCTATTATAATTTGTTGTAAAATATATATCTGGTTAGTTTTGGATAGTACCGATAATGTTTGTTCTATATTGTTATAATTTTATAGTAAGTAAAACAATAAAACATGTACTATTTAACATTAAAACGCTTCATTTTGTTTTTTCAAATATTATAACGTATCTGTTTTACCTTAAAGATTGTAACAGTGGCGTGGCTAAGGTGGGAGAGGAGGGGGGAGAATTACAAAATCCCCCCGGGCCTCCACTTGAGGTTGGCCCTAAATTTTTATTTTTTATTTTTTTGCATTAAATATTAACTATTACGCAAAATGCAGGATCCCCCCAAAGAGTTACCCCCCCCCCCGGGCGCCTAAACGATAGAAAATTCCTAGCTACGCCCATGGATGGTAAAAAAATTTTTTGTATATAATATTTTACACGGAACCCATTCTTACTAGCGAACTCTGCCAGTGTACATTTCCTATGGAATTTTTCAAAAAATTTTTTGCAAGTTCCTAGTTTGAACAATAGAGATTGATATTTAATAGAAAAAAAAAATTAAACCTTTGAGGGTTAATGGGTTAAAGGACCATTTTGTTGACATATAAAATAAAATGTTCGAATATGGATACGACAAATTTTGGCTTCAAAAACAGATTCCAATTTTATACGCTGCATTATGGGTCATTGAACAGAAGTTGACAGTTGTTGGCTGCCTTCGGTGTAATGAAACGTGTCCTTAAAATCCCGAAATTCAAAAGCCCGAGATTTGATTTGATTTTGATTTTAGGCAGATCCGCATAATTTAGGCCATGTCGTGCCTGCAGTCCCTTAAGGACTACTCTCTCTCTCTAAACAACAAGGGCCAAATTCTATACAGTCATATCATTAAAATCAAGGTCTATTCACAGTTAAAATAGTAAAGGTAATAAAAATTTAATTATTTGGTAAAAATCTAATGTAAATAGTACAAGTTCACAAATTATTATTATTATTATAGCTTTTATATAGCTTATGCGGTGTCAGGAACCCAAATTCCCTGCTCGGACCTGAGACAAAGTATTGCCTCTGCCACCTATCGAGAGTGGCAGAACCGATGGGAGGCTGAGACTCGCAATAAACTCAGGCAGATTGTGGCGGATGTCAGGTGGAGGCCCACATCTAAGGATCTGACAAGGGATGCTTAAAATTTCCTCCTTTCTGATGCTTTAACGACCATAAGTGCAAGCGATATTGCATGTAATTCGGCCGTAAAGATGGAGCAGCCATCGGGGAGTCTGAGATTTGAATCCAGTAGTCCAGGTTTAGGAGCAAAACACTTAACCACACAGCCATCGCTCCCCTTGATCGCTTGCATCAAGAAATTCGTAAACGTTTTACATGACCTAATGATTTTAATTTCAAATTTGGATTTTTACTGGACATTGAAACTTTATTAAGGAAAAAAAAATGATGACCAAACATCGTATTGAATTTGCGGAACATATTCTTAGGCAAGACGTAACACATTGACCAGCGGAACATACTATTAGACAAGGCTTAACACATTGACCAGCGGAACATATTCTTAAACAAAACTTAACACATTAACCAGCGGAACATATTCTTAGACAAGGCTTAACACATTAACCAGCGGAACATATTCTTAGACAAGGCTTAACACATTAACCAGCGGAACATATTATTAGACAAGGCTTAACACATTGACCAGCGGAACATATTCTTAAACAAAACTTAACACATTAACCAGCGGAACATATTCTTAGACAAGGCTTAACACATTAACCAGCGGAACATATTCTTAGACAAGGCTTAACACATTAACCAGCGGAACATATTATTAGACAAGGCTTAACACATTGACCAGCGGAACATATTCTTAGACAAAACTTAACACATTAACCAGCGGAACATATTCTTAAACAAGGCTTAACACATTAACCAGCGGAACATATTCTTAGACAAGGCTTAACACATTAACCAGCGGAACATATTCTTAGGCAAGACGTAACACATTGACCAAAGTCCTCCATTAGATGGATGCCTCAAAACAAAGGAAAACGAAAGCAAGGTCTTCCATGTAGGTGTCGCACCTTCTTAGAGACTTAGGGGATGAATAGAAACCACAGAGAGAAAAATGTACAACTAGGTTTTGAGGCTTTTAACTGCTCCGCCTCGGGCAGTACACATTCTAGTACAGCTTGTAGAAAGAATGCAAACGTAGCTACAAATTAGTTTGATAATGGTGGAGAAATTCGGTTCTGACTTGCTTTTAGATGGTGCATGAAATTTAAAACTACACATGTGTAGAGTATAGTCTGGGCATTGCTTTCGAAAGGTCAAGGAGAGAATTATAAAGCATACTGTAGCTGACCTTTGTGATTTGTGTGTGTGTGTTAAGACTTCTGTGTTTCTGTGAAATACGAAGTAAACATACTTGTGTTGAAAACTTAAGACGGACAATTTTTACTATGTGAATAAATAATCTTTCCATAGCCCGAATTCTGCTATATCAACGAGTTTGCTGTTTTTTTTTTGGTTTTTATTTTAATTTCCCGCAAAGATTGGCTCAAAAAATTACATCTTTTGATTTGTAATCAATTGAAACAATTTCAATTTATTGTGGTATTGAAGTAATCGTAAACACTGTCAAAAAAAACAACAACTGGCCATCACTAACCTGCACATTTACTTTCTTCATTACATAGGGACAAAAACTTGAGTATCGATTGCTTCACATTAGATGAGACTGTTATTATGGAAAACTATATTATGATAGACAGAAGTACCTTTAAGTTTACCTGCTGCAAATTGATCTATCAATTAAGTATTTAAATGTTCAAGAATTACCTTAATTACTATATTAAGAAAGATTTTAAAATAAAAGCGTGACTGATAGAATTTTTTCAATAAAAGCGGGACGGTCAACGTCATGCCGAAAATTTTATGAAAAGCGGGACTGTCACGCCGAAGTCGGGACGTCTGGTAACTTTACTTAAACTTCTAAGTAGACCTAGGCCTATATCAACGTGGGCACCAGGTGGGAAGTGGCTGTGGGAGTTGCCTGGGACAGATCTCTGTGGAGTCGAGAGCTCGGCGCTAGAGAACTAAGTCTTAACCCTAGCGCTAGAGCACAGAGTTTTTTTTTTAAACCGTAAAAGTAAAAAAATCTTGTAACTCATTCTAGAAAATGAAGGGCAAAAATGCTTTGAAAAAAAATGTTAATACATCGGTTCAATGTACTTGGATCTAATTATCTTCTAAAGTTTAAAATCTGCACTACTATTCCACTGTTACCATCTATTATCTATTAGCCTAATATTTGCACCTTACACAATTTACTTATTTTAATTGTAATCTTTTATTTTCGATAAGAAATAAAAAAGCGAAAGTAAGTTGAAATGTTGCCGGAAATAGTTTGTTGGGTGGCAACTATGTAAGCTTTATTCTAAAAATGGCGACTATTTACAAGGCTATATTATAGCCATATAGGTTTTAACCATTGACATATATATATTTAATAAAATTACTGGTAAATTGTTACGATTTTCTCCTAGATCTAGATAAATATACAACGATTTATTCGTTTCGACACAATGCGAATGATAACTGAAAATAATATAAGGTTAAAATTAAACTTAAAATTAAGGGAACTCGAGTGAGAAGCTCACTCAGAAGTGACAGAACAGAATGTTTAACTTTTTTTTTTTTACTTCATCTTCATCAAGTTCATCTAGATTCTAGATCTTACTTGAGTCTATGTAATAATTTATTATATATTATGATACTATATCTATAATAGCACTCTAGATTCTAGATCTAATAAAGTAGACAGATCTATATATTAGATATCCAGGAAACTACAGACCAGTATCACTTACCAGCATCACATGTAAAATCCTAGAACACATAATATGTAGCAACATCATAAACCACTTAGACAAACATAATGTTATCACCCCATACCAACATGGCTTTAGGAAATATAGATCATGTGAAACACAACTAATAGGGCTAATTGATGATTTTTCAATAGGTTTAGATAATAGTGAACAAATAGATGCTATTTTACTAGATTTTTCCAAAGCTTTTGACAAAGTTCACCACCATAGTTTGCTTAAAAAAATTAAAATATTTCGGCATTAATGGTCCACTGCATCAGTGGATTAAAGATTTTCTGATAGGGAGAGAACAAACTGTAATAATAAATGGCTCTAAATCAACACCAATAACAGTAAACTCAGGTGTACCTCAAGGAACAGTCTTGGGTCCAATACTATTTTTAATTTACATAAATGATTTACCAAATTGCATTAGTTCAGGAACAAAAGTCAGATTATTTGCAGATGATTGCATAATATATAGAACAATAAAAACAACACAAGACACAGATATTTTACAAAGAGAATTAGATGAATTACAGAAATGGGAATCAAATTGGAGCATGTCTTTCCACCCAGAAAAATGTCAGTTGTTAAGAGTAACAAAAAAACTAAAACAAATTAATTCCACTTATCTTATTCATGGCAAACCATTAACACAGACTAAAAACGCAAAAATACCTAGGTGTTATAATAAATGAAAAACTGTCATGGAATCCATATATTGATGAAACTATTAAAAAATCCAACAAAGCATTAGTGTTTATTAAAAGAAATTTCTATAAATCAAATAAGAAAATAAAACTAAAATGTTATTTAACCTTGGTTAGGCCAATAATAGAATATGCATCCACCGTTTGGGACCCCTCAACTCATTAAGAAATTGGAACAAACACAAAATAGAGCAGTGAGATTCATAACAAACAAATATTCACATTTGACTAGAGTAACACCATTAGTAAAATCACTAAATTTAGAAAGCCTTCAGGACAGAAGACTCAAAAGTAAAGTAGCAATTATACATAAAACACTGAACCATAATCTTCAAATACAAAAACAAAATTTAATACAATACTCTAAAAGACACAAAAATAAAGGCACATTCCTCATCCCATATGCTAGGACAAATTTGTACAAATACTCCTTCTTTCCTAGTGTTTTTAGAGCATGGAATGGGTTGCCTGAGCTAGCCAGAAAAACCATTGACTTGGCAGAATTTAAGTCATTGGTTAATATGCATGACTAAATGCATGACGCATAGGACG